CTGTCTAGTAGCCTACTAGGCCTAGTAGGCGTTCCTAGACGTCTCCTAAGATACTAGAGGATAGGCGTGAGGCGTAAGGCTTAGCCGTTAGACAGTCTAAGCAGCTAATAGGGGGACTACTAGCGGATAGCCTGCTTAGGGTCCTGAGGGCAGGACCTTAGAGGGGGGGGATTATGTTAGGTGCCCAGAGCGGGGCCCTAGGGGGGCACCAGAGTGGGACCAGGACTAGATAAACTAGTCACCAAAGGAACAACAAAAAGGGAAAACTCTGTAGAAGATAGGGGTAAGAGGAGGTATATTAGAATAATTGTCATAATTGAACCCTAACCACGCCTATTGCTGACTCCTTTACTTGATACTATCCCCGCCTCTGACATCTACGCCTGGGGCAACAGATACCACGACGAGCGTACCCCGGAATTCAATACAGTCAAAACGGTTAATGGCACTTGATTGTTTAGTCCGTTACGTACTGTACACGTTCTTGCGCTGGGGCTGACCATCAATGATGGAAGTACCTTCTTGGGCCAGCTGATATTCGGACATGCACGAGAACGTTGGTCGTGGTCTGGCACCGAGGGACTTACCCATTTTGTACGTTTCGCGCCTGGTAGTTCGTCTGGGATCTCATGGGAATAGCTTCATGTGGCTAGTACCAGTTGTGGTCGCCACAGATGTATCTTATCATATGCACAGACCATTTCGTATGAATATTTTCAGCTGATAATAATTTATATGCTGTTTCTAGATAGGACAACTACTTTTACCCTCTTTTTTTTTTAGCAGACGCCGCGGTTTGTTATAGCCTGTTAACTAGGTAATAATCTCTTTGTTGTTCGAGGGTTATTCTTTAGGAAAGAACCAGAAGTATAGCTTCTAGGTGTGATTATTACTAGTAGTATGGGGTAGAATTGGCCAGCGTTGAAGCCCATGTTTGGGATGCTTATGCGATTAACTACAAACCCTCAGACAAGCCCACTTGCCGTGACGGGAGGGAGCACGGGCTGATTGCTCCAAAGCTAAATAAATCTTGAACCTTGACGAATTGAGTGCGGCGTTGTATGAATGCTTTAACCTGGATATTGACATGTTAGGATCTACGTCAACCTTAACAAGAGCGATCTGCCTCTCGAGAGTCGTCTTGGAGAAACGTGGTGGGAGGTGGGTTCATCTGCATGACACACCTAGGTCAAGAATAGTAGTACTGGTCCCTGTCATGAACCGATTCCTGAGTGCACGCGCCATCTTCCAGTAGCAGATGCTCAGAAAACTTGCCCTCTGGGGCCTCTGGTCGGAGGCCCCGGACCGACTCGGAGGCAGCCCTAGGAGTGGAGAGAGAGGGGGGAGGGGAGGGGGGTTCCATGTAGACTGGCGCTTGGCACTGCTCCGCACCAGGGGGGGAAATCTGCCTCGCTAGGCTGTGTGGTGGATGATGGAAGGACGCATGTCGTTTCTCGTCGTGCCTGGATCCATCCGCGCCGCTTTCAGGTAGCAGAACATTACATGAAAGTCATATGATTTCGAGATTGGACTTAGTGTAGGACGACTGATTGAGAAAAAAAGATGGGTGGAAAAATTGAAGCCGCCCGCGCCGTGCCTTGCCGAGCGGCCTCCGACAAAAGGCCCCCGAATTGTGGCTGGAGAAGTGATCTCGTGCAGCGAAATGTATGAGCGGGCGTCAGGGGATTGAATCCTGTATACAGCCTTACGGTACGTTTCAATCAAAGCGTCGGTTGTCACTGGAAGACAATTGCCTCGTCGAAACCTCGAGGTGGTCTGGAAGCCGATCGCGGCGAGCCAGGCAGTGCCGCCTATTTCCACCCAGTGTTGACGGAAATAGAAGTGCCTGCGATGGGCGCGTCTGTTGCTAGCGGTGACTGGAGGATGTAGGAGATGATGAGCGTCTCGGTGAAGGATCGGAAGTGGTGTGTGTGTGTGTGTGTGTGTGTGTCTGGATGGATTGACGCGTTCGACGTGGTGTTGGTGGTCGTGGTGTACGCGTTCTGGGACCTGGCAAAGACGCAGTCACTAGCCAATGACGGAATCGAGGGGAGTTCCTGAGTTGTGTCTAGGACTCCAGGACTCCAGGACTCTATTCGCGACTTTTCTGCCAGTCAGTCAGTCATTTCATTGAAGGATTTAGGTTGCATCGTATCCGGCCAGGCAGATGTTTGGCGACATGCAGGTACGTACCTTCTCACTGCCCCTGCCAGCCGCATCGGGTGACCTCGTGACGGCGGGTTAATCGTTAAGGTGAGAGAGAGAGAGCTGCTTGAAACGGAAAGAGAGCATGGAGCTGTGCTGGTGCCTGCCTGCTGGTGGTGGAGAAGGAACGGAATGGATGAGGCAGGTGCGGTGCGGTGCGGTAACAGAGTACGTACTCTGTACGGTACATGGAACTGCAACAAGAACGGCAGGAACAACAGGGGGACGGTGACGGATACGGACGGGAGTCTGTGTCGCTCTTCCCCCCCCCCTTCTCGTCCACCCACATCTACTCCGTATCTCATCTCCACCTCCTCCACCTGTTTATCTCGACCAAGGGAACTCCAAACTTGCCATGCATGCACGCACGATGGCCCGCGACACACGATGCGATCCGAACCAGCAAAGCCACGATGACGAAATATGTCAAGCTTTCAATCCGTGTCTGTCTGCGCGAAAGAAACCACGCAACGGCTTGGCCACGTCGGTTGGTCCGAAGGAGAACCAACCTATGGTGGCGGAGCCGAACTTGACCACGTTAAAGACGCGCACAGCCTTCGCGCCTCTTCACACTACTACGTACGTAGTAGTAAATCTGACAAGCACCACCACCATCATCAACCTTGTCAAGCCCTCAGTGGCTCCCCTTGCAGCCTGCGATCCTTCCATGGCCATGGACCTGTCCGAGGGAATTGATCAGACTGGCTTCTCATTGTTTTGGAGCCCTTCAACCATACACATGCCCTGGACCTAGCCGTCGATTATCGGTTACCCCCATCGTGGTCTCGTGCATTCTCAGATTGCCACCTGCAAGCCAAACGAATGGGGATACCCGACCCGGACCACTAGGAGAATCACTGTCATTGTCCACCGCCGTGGCCCCAGGCTACGGACAAAGGGCTTGCATGAGGGAGTGACTCAGGTGTCATTCATCCAGTCCCTCTAATCCATCCTTCCCCTCACCAAATCCAGGCCGCCGTGACTGGCTGCCATTTCGACTGGACTGGATGCCCAGGATGCAGGAACCGTTGCGACTCGCGCGCGACGGCGGTTGTCGCTTGTCACATTGCTTCAGAGAGACGACGGGCCACACGAACACAGACCACATGTGTTTCGACTGCCGCTGTCCATGCTACCTTGGCCTATTCCAAGGGCCCAAGGCTAGCCCGTCCCTTGGGTCAAGTAAATGACGACCTGGGGTTAGGGGTCGCGCTGGGTGTGAGATGGGCATTGCGCTCTACAGTGCACACACACACCAAAATAGCATCTTACCAGGGAAAAATATTATTTCGCTGTTTTGTCCATACAACCGCAGTCAGCCGCTATCTCTCACAGAAGGCTGCGACAGCCACCGGCCACAGTCAACGGCGGCCCGCAACACTCACTTCGACGCTGGCCAAAGGGCGACGAGAACGAACCATGGCGGGAAAGAGAATGGCGACGGCGCAAGCCAAGAAGGGCGCCGTTGTGCTGTCCATCCAGTCTGTCGGTTCCCAATCAATCTGCGCTGAACCAGTCCCCGCTATGAGTCCTCAATTCCACTCGCCGTCACGCGGCGCATCTCGACTTGAACCAACATTGGCCTCAGGTCCAAGGCCCCGTCGGTGGGGACGACTGAGGACTCGAGCGAGGGAGAAACAGAAACACCATCCATCCGTATGCATGTCCACTATGCACCGTTCGACCTGTCAAGAGTCCTTGGTTGCCTCCAACGCCCTCCATTCGACGAGCTTACCACCCCCCCCTTGCGCCCTCCACAAACGTCACTTGGCCCGCGCCTCCGCCTCCTTTGACGGTGGTGGATGGTGGTACAGTTAGTTTCGACGGTCCCTACTAGAAAAAGGCTGTGAACCAAGCGCCACGTGTGATCCGCCAGCAGAAGAGCGCGCCAGAGTCTCTAACACGCCTTCTTCCACAAAACGGGTCTGTCTCTGTGAGCACGAAAGAGGCCTAGCTGGGCCAAAGACTCATTTCGGCCACCAACTCGGATACGTACTGTCCCACCATCGAAGGCAGCAGTCTGACAGGGGAGGGGGAATACACGAGGGGATATGCATCTCCACACCACACCATTCCATCCCACCATCTCAGCTCACGATACTTGGAATGCGCCGCTGTTTCTGCGGCTGACGCTTGGTACCGGCCACCCCCCTGCCTCTCTCATGCTCCCTCCCACTACCGTTATGAGGGCCCTTCTTCGGCCTCGACGACATTTAATTCAGACGCCGTTTCTTTGCGAGACATCTTGTTCCTACGCTGCTCGATAACTCCACTTGGACTATTTACACTTCGATACCCTCCCGCACATCAAACTCGTCATCCTAGTCCGCCAAACCTGGCCGATCCACACTACATATACTTAGGCAGAAGTTGTTCCATTTTTCAACTTCTCTCTCACGTGTTGCTTGTTGCTTCCATCTGGTATATTATATCTTCACCCTCGCCGCTTCCCTTCACTCGACAGACCAACCAACTTACACCTCCAAAAATTCAGATCACATATCGTCGCTCAAGCCTCTCTTACATCTTTGACCCGGCCCATCGGCACCATCACACTGTCCCCCTACCGTGCGCCAGAATACCATTACCTCGACAACACAATCGTCCATAAGTACAGGTCTCGTCGTCCCTCCAACATCAACCGGGAATCTCGGCATACAACCCGTCTCTCGAGGACACCATCCTCTCCTCAGACGATAACATCCGTGAAACGACTTCACCTCGTTCCGGAGATAGTTCAACCATCACCACCAACCCCGCGCACGCTGCGCCTTGATACGTTTAAACAAAGCACAATGTGCACCACCGACGTTTACACCGACGTCTACCCCGACGGCCGGAGGCGCGAGTACCAAGAGCCCAGCTACTGCAGCACTGCATCTCGCAGCGGCCGCTTCTGCGCCAACCCCGCCGTCTACAACCACCCGCCTCGTGATGTAGCTTATCCACCAGCCGGACCTTCGTACTCCTTCCCTCAGCAGATGCCGCCCACTCCTCCACTGGGCTCACCTCGGGGCTTTTCCTCAGGCGCCAACGGAGATCGCACTCGCCGGGAGTCTTCCTCGACCGACCGCAAACACCGACATTCTGGTATCTATGTGAACGGGCAGAAAGTCTTGGACCTCAACCGCAAGAACCGCTCGCGTGCCGAGCGCATCGTCATCGTCGACTCCCCGCCTACCCCTCGCACGCCTCCCAAGCAGTACGCATCACCCTACACCGCGCCGCCTTCACCCAACGCGGGCGGCAACAGCCCCAACTTCCACTACAGCCACGTCCCGCGCGATTCTTTTCGCCCCGTCATCGTAGACGAGCGCACACCGCGGTCCAAGGTTGAGATCGAGGTTGTTGACAACGGCCATCGCCGCCACAACTCCTCTGACTCGCGACACAGCCACAGCCACAGCAACAGCGGCGGCGACGACGAAGAGCGCCGGCGCCGCCGTTGTGATCGCGAGCGTCAGAAAGAGGAGGAGCGCCAGGAGCGCATCCGCCTGCAGATTGCCGCGCAGAACGCCGAAATCGCCCGCCGCAGCGCCACGGCCTTTAAGCGCACGCCTCCGAGCTTCGTTCCTACCATATCCGACCAGGAGCGTGACTTGGAACTGGCCAATGCCGTGCGCCGGCTGGAGATTGCCGACTGTCGGGCGCGCGAGGCGCGTGAAGCACGGGAGAGGGAAGAGGAAGAGGAGGCCCAGCGCCGCCGGCTGATGGAACGCATGATGCCCCGCCGCCGGGCGACGGTAGGGCCGGGCAGCCGGAGGCACCGCGTCCTCTACGACGATGGAGTTTACCGATGGGAGTAAAGAATTCTTGGGGGTATAGACTTGTTTCGATAAGCCGTCCTTGCACTTGGTTGGGGTTCGGACTTGTACAGATAGCCAGCGTTTTGCCTTTGCCACATGTATACACACACAGAGAGAGAGAGGGATAGACAGGGGTTTGGGAGGGGCTGCCGGGATGGCGAAGGGATGATACCACAACAGGACACTTTGGAGGGCACTTTGGAGTGGACAATCTAGAACAGTCATTGAATTGAAACAACATCATGATTCATGAAAAAAAAAACGCTGAAATCTCTTGTTCCCGGCAATGTCACCTTTTCCCATAGGTGCGCGGAGTTGCAATGACGAAAGACGAAATCTCGAGGGCCTTGTGATCGCGTATTCATGCATGTCTCACTTCCCGCCCTGGTCTTGCCCAGGACCCCAAGCCCTCCCCTCCTCGTCTTGCTGGCCTGCTCGCCACCGCCTCGGAACGCGGCTGCGAGACATCTGCAGCGTCCCGAATCTCGTGGCGTCGTCTTGTTCGTCTGCCTTGACTTGTGTTGTCTTGGGTAGGTACTACAAGCAGCAGAAAGACAATGGATAGGGCGGTGGGGGTTGCTTCGGTCTGAGTCAAGACACCCACCACCACCACCACCACCAAGTCTACTACTACTATACTGCTACTACTAGCTTGTAGAGCTTGTTGGGGGGAGGAGGGGTAATGAACCTCGTCCTGGCCTTGGACTTGTGGGCGTCCGCGACGACAGCTCTTGTAAAGGGACCTAGATCTCCAACAGCGATGAGAGGGGTACACAACGTGGGGTACAAACGATGGCCATTTGCTGCCTGGCTCCCCGATTTCCGTCTGAACTTGCTGCAAGACATGCGTTAGGGTAACTTGGCCCGAGTGCACTGCACCCGTCTATCGAACCCTGCCCCCCCCTCTTCCCGGGGCTAAGCTCGCCGGCTGTACGACTGGCAACGGCGCGTCTAAGGGAAAGGGGGGGGGGGCGTCGGCGAAGCTTTGGTGCCTGCGCACGGCGGGGTTGGGAATGATAGGTCTACGTTTTGGCAGTCGCACTCGAGAATCGTGATGATATTACCTCGCTATTCGTAGCCGGGACGGGGGCGGGAGGAAGGGAGGCAGAGGATCACTGGTCGCCCCATGTTGGCTCTTGTTGGCTGTGTGGGATGATATGACGGGACAGGGTCCTGCTGGGGGTTCCGCACAACCTTTGATCTCATGTCCCCTCCCCCGGCAGTGTGTCGGCCGGCCACGGCCCCCTTGGTGATAGTGTGGGGGAAAGAAATATGTGCCTCTTTGATGTGCATCACACCGAAGCCACTCTTGTCTCTTTTCCGCGGATGCCGCGTCGGAAAGGAAAGAAAAGCAAGACTTGTCCCAACAGCAACCCATGACTGAGATTATGAGAACTGAGACCGCATTGTCTGCCTGAGCACACACACACACATCACCCACTCCCGCGCCGGTCCCGTGTCCAACGTCCCCGCCCCTCCTCCCCCCGCGGCGCTTCTCGGGATTGGCCCGCCGGGTGTGGGGGCCCACCCACACCGAGAGGTGGGCATGAAATCCGGGGGGAGTCATACACCGAAGGATTGGTGACGCATTTTGGCGGTGAAGCGCGGCGGTGGTAAATGGAGCTTTTGGGGAGGGGAGTTAGATGCCTAGGATTCGTGCTGCCTACCTAAGTAGCCTTTCGCCATCCCATCACCGGCTATTTTTCTTAAGGAATACAGTTTGTTATTGGAGAAAAACAAACAAAGTCCAAGTGTCGATTATTGTGCCCCCAGGACACGCTCATTTCGTGCTAAGCGTATAGTGTGCAGTGCGTGTACCGCTATCTTGGAAACGGTCTTGGTTTCCGCCAAGTGGTCTGGCCGTGTAAGCCTCATGCAGCGTTCACCTCCATCATCTCGTTAAGAACGCATATTTATTATAGAGATGTCGTGTAAAAGATATCGAGCGAAAAAGACTGGCTCGGATCGCGCATCGTAGGATATGGTATCCTGGTCATCCACTGCAAGGCTGCATATAGCCGTAATATACCTAAGTTAGCACCTTTCCAATGCACGTCACATTGGTCGAATCATATTGTGGCACAGATTTCGGCGTCGAGAGACAGCACGACACCTTTAGGACAGTCACATTCTTGTTAGACGTGGCGGAAATCGTTGTATACTCGAGGCCCTGGCAGACTTTATAATTTTATGAGAAGCAGCGGGGTAACCCGTAGCCTGGATTGTCCACCATGATACACCTTTTGGCCAGCTCTAAGGTTCTCCTGGAGCCCCGTTGCCACCCAAAAAGCAATGACAGTCGAATGTAACGGGACTCGGGAGGGCTGGCCGCTAAGAGTCGCCGTATACAATCGTTTTACTTGCACGACAAACGCCGAGGCGTACCTGGCCTATCCCGACGGCGTAGGCTTAGCCCCCCGGTCCTCCTCGGCGTCGCGCTCCGTGAGTAGGTGGAAGTGGGCCACCCCGCAGTCCCAGAGCTCGCACACCCGCCGCAATGTCCGCGCCCCGACCGTCACGAGCTCCGGGAAGACCGCCGCAGCTGCCGACCAGACAGGGAACGAGCCGCGGGGAAGAACATTTTTCTTTCTTCGAGGGCCAATGGGATATTGGGAGTAACGCACCCCAATGCTTACAGTCTTGCAGTTTTCGGGTGTGATCCGCTGATAAAGACTGCTTATAAACCGATTGCCGCGGGGTTCACGTCCTTTATCGGCGTTGGCCGGATTGCCAATCTGCTCCGTGGATTGCGCAATACGGCAAGGTGGCCTGATACACCCCAATCATTGGGTGTTGGCCTGCGTTGTTGCGAAGGCATAAATGCCGCGCAAGCCATGCTGGTGATTGACGGTTCCGAGCCGGGCTTGCCTGGGATCACGGTGAGATCATCCTTCAGCGACATCATCATCCCGTTTAGTGTCCTTCATCTTTGGAACTTTTCGAACCAACTGCGACGATGACGGTCAAGAGCCCAAACAGTCCTAAGCCACTCAAGGTCGCCATCATTGGCGGAGGTCCCGGGGGACTCGGCGCTGCAATCGAGTTCGGCAAGTTGGACTACGTCGACTGGACGCTTTACGAAAAGAAGCCCCAGATCAGTGAGACCGGCGGCGGCATCAGTCTACAACGACACACCTGGAGGCTGTTGGAGTTGAACGGGACGGCCAAGAACATAGATCCAAATGACTACTTTAGATCTCCTGATGGCACGAGTGGACAGCAACGGTGAGCTCAGCTGAAAATAGAGTTGATTGATGCTGGGATATTGACTCTAGAAATTACAGGAACGGGAGGACCGGGAAGCTCCTAGAGCAGAGCAGTCACCCCAAAGATACGCTGCCGCAGCAGTTGAGCTGCCGCATGATGCGGGCTAAGCTGCAAGCCGCCCTCCTCAAAGACGTCGACCAGTCGCGTGTCAAGACCTCGAAAAAGCTGGTTGATATCTCAGTGCTCCCTAGTGGCCGGGTTCGAATCGGTTTCGAAGACGGCCTCATTGACGAAGTGGACTTGCTCGTCGGAGCTGACGGAATCCGATCGGTGAGACCTGCCAGATGTACCAGCTTCTCAGTCGAGCCTCTCAGCAATCTAACGTATGATGGCAGTTTGTGAGATCCTTTGCCTTCCCCTCACACAGGATCAAGTATAACGGCCAATCCGCGTACCGCACCATCATCCGCAAATCGGAAGCCGAAAAGATCGACGGGATCCCCAAGTCTCCCGTCTTCTGGCAGAACACTGGGGGGAAGTACGTCTTCACCTGCCCCCTCGGCGGAGACGACTTCGAAGTCACGGCACGCATCCGCCGCCCGGCCGAGGGACAGGAGCACGTCAGCTGGGGCCGCCCCTTTGACTTCGCGACCATCGCGTCAGAGTACGACGAGTTCTGCGAGCCCGTCCGCAGAGTCGTACAGCTCGCCGCCCAAGGCGAGACCCAGGAATTCGCCCTGTTCTCGGGTGCCCGGCTGGAGAGCGTCATCTCCCACGGCGCGCTGGCCCTGATCGGGGACGCTTCCCACCCCCTATCGGGCGCTTTCGGCGCCGGCGCGGGGTTCGCGCTGGAGGATGTGTACGCCTTGACTCGGAGCATCGACTGGGCGCAGCGGAATGCCAAGGGCTTGCCGGCGGCGCTAGAGCTGTATGACCAGATCAGGTCGCCGCACTACCGCGACCTGTACGGTGTTCTGGACAACTTTGCCACTCTCAACTCCTCACTGCTGGCCGAGAAACTCCCCGCAAATGAGGAGATTGAGGAGCGTGTGAGAAGAGTGGGCGAGAGCAAGAGTACCTGGATGTACCACTATGAGATAGACAAGGCCGTGGACAAGTTCCTTGGAGCGGCCGGCCCACTTGGCCAGGTCACAGCCGTTCTCTAACACGCAGTAAGAATATAGCAGCACATTAGATAGGGTTGAATATAGGTCCTAGGCGAGCCATCGAGGCTCGTCGCTTCCCAGCGGTTTCGGCATAACATCCCAACCAGGCTCAAGGCCCTTAATCACTGCCGAATGCTTTACGTACTTCATTAGGCCAAAGCCCGTCATGCGCTTTTCAAACAGATCCTCAACCTGGAAGCTTCTTTCGGCAGTCGAGACCTCGAAACCTGTTTTGCCTGGGTACTGGCCAAGACTTCTCAAGTATTTCATCACCCCCGCGAGCGAGACGTCCACGACCCAAGAGCCACCCTCTGTTGCGCGTTTATACAGGGCGGCAGATATCCCAGACGCAAGAAGGAAGCCGGCACCGTGGTCGAGGGCCTGGCAGGGCATAGGCATCGCGGGCTCTCCGGCTCCATGATGCCGCGCTTCCGACACGTTCATCCCGCTGCACGTCTGGACCAGGGAGTCGAATCCGCGGCGACCAGACCAGGGGCCGTCGGGGCCGAACGCCGAGAGATTCGCAATGACCAGCCTCGGGTTCGCCGCGGCCAGCTCTGTCGGGGACAGGCCGCGCGCCGCGAGACTGCCGGGTCGGTACCCCTGGATGAAGACGTCTGCGGTGCGGAGAAGCTCGAGGAGTTTGGCTTTATCCGGAGGCTTGTCGATGTCGAGCCGGATGGTGCGCTTTCCGCGGCCGAACTCTCGATCGACGCGGGGCTGGTCCGGGAGGCTCGGCGACGTGACCCAGAGAACGTCTGCCCCATGCGCTGCGAGCGTCTTGCCTGCCACGGGCGCAGCTATCACGCGGCTCAGCTCTACCACCCTGAGGCCCCTGAGACAACGGTCTGCGCCTTTGGCCATGTGGTCGGGGAAACCTTTGGGCCCGTCCGCGAGCTTTCTCAGCAGGATGGGCTGGTCTGCGACGCAGACCGACTGAGGGTGCCTATCCCACTCCTCGTGCGTGCGCAGAGCATAGATTGCCAGGCCGTGCTCGATGGCGGTCGTCTCCAGGTCGACACTCAGCCAAAGCTTCGTCTTCGAAGCGACGTCGTCGCGGGTAGCGTCCGGGGGTAGACCCAGGAGCTGTAGGGCGCCGAGGCGGTGATGTGGGAAGCCGTCGTGGATGCGGACATGGCCGTCCAGAGTTTTGTGGAGGCCTCCCACGTCACCCCAGGCGGACTGCGGGGTCTCGCCCTCGATCTCGTAGAGCCTTTCCGACCTGAACTCAGCGAGGGCGTGGTGGAGCGGCACCTCGACCCGCGGCAGGGCGGCGACGCCATTGCGGTGCGAGTGAAGGAGAGCGGCTGTTGAAGCCGATAGCGCGATCGAACTCTGCGCGATGTGGCCAACCTTGAACGAGGAGGGGACGGCTGGGCCGGGCGTGGTCTCGAGTCTGATAGCCGAAGTGGCATGCTTCGGCAGCCCGAGATTGGTCCAAAGCTCCTCCACGATATCAGCAGGGCTGAAAGTTGAACGATCCATGGCTCAGATTTGGTTTCGGCGACGGAGCATGCTTTTTGTGCTACTTGCGGGGTTGTCATGGTCATAAAAAGCAACGTTGAGGGGGGGCGGCTCCGGGTCAACGGGATTGTGTCATCGAGGAATGATATGCCTCGGCTGTCGGAGCCGATCATGGACTGTGGCGTAAGAACCATATACGAGGACGTATGTGGCCTTATAATCCTCGGAATTTCAGGTGTAAAAGTGCGTACTGCCGATGAGAAAGGAGTGAAATAAGCTCATTCATTTCATTGTATGTGCTTAAGGCTCTGATCGGCAACAGCGGGAATGTTGGATAACTCGTCAACTTGGATAACGTGAGGGGAAATATTAGTCAGAAACTGAATAAATGCAGCGCTAGGCCAAAAGAGGCCCCTTTTTCATTAGCAGAGTTTGCCTATAAGAAACCTTACTATTTTACCACGTACCTAGATAAGAATAACTTTCTGCTGCCTAAAAAGAGGGGAAATATTAGATAACTACCCCTACTGCTACCTATTTTGTTATAAGGTCCTTATAAGGTGCTTATAACGTATCTAACTATTATCTATCTTATAGGAAAACCTTAGTTACTACTTTATAATAGATTACACCTAACTATTAGTAGTTACTATAGCCTATATTACTATTATTATAACTATAAGTAACTATAGTTAGCTAGTAGCTAAAAAAGAGGTTATTAATAAGGGTAGTGTAATAGAGGCGTAAAGATTTTACTAGTAGTTACTTAATAAGTTATATTATTACTTCTATAACACCTTTTATATAAGCAAAAGGCAGTTTTATATACTTCTAAGGTAGCTATAAAATAACATACTACTATAGTTATTATAATAGTTAATAGTTAAGCAGAAGGTGCTTATTTATCTTTTTATCCTTATAATTTAGGCTTTATAGCAGACTACTAGTTATTTCTTTAAGGTCAGCTAGTTAACTATATCGCTAGTGTTTAATAAGGTTATACTATGCCTTATTACCCTCTATAAGGCGTACGTAAAAAGGCTAGCAGAAAGTAAAGTCTTACTTAAAGTAAAGACTAATAAGAAGTAAAAAGAATTTACTAGCTATATAGGTGTTATTAATAGGACCTTAATACCTATGTACCTCCTAGATAACAAACAATTTACATAGTAAAGTCATAAGGGTACTATTTTATAAAATGTCTTTATAGTAGTCCGCTTTAATAAGAGCTTCTTATACGTGCTTACTAGGGCTAAAGGATTAATCCACAATATAAGCCTAATCTCCTACGCCTTTAACAAAGGATTTAGTGTCCTAGAGGGTTAATATTTCCTTATAGATACTAGTGTTAGTATCACAGGGATCGCGATTAATATAGCTACAATAGTATTAATTAACTATTAGTAGCTAGGTGAAGATAATAAGAAAGGAAAAGAGAAGAGGTTACTGCTATAGGTATTTGTAGTGGTGTAAGTAAGCCGCTAGGGTAAGTCACGTAATAGTAAATTACGTAACTATAGATTAGCTCTACTATTAGATAGTTAAATATCCTAACACTAGTAACTTTCTAAAGTAAAAGAAAATTACTATAAATAGCCTAGATACTACCTAGCAGCTAAAAAGCTTAAAAACATAATAAAAATTAAAAGCCTAAAAGTATTTAATACTTTTTATCTATATAATCTATTATATAGCTTAAGAAACCTATCCCTCTATACTAATCTAAACTATCCTATTTCTAACTAGTTATTCTAGCGCCTTATTAGGTAATAATTTAGTAAATTTATTAGTAGGATTATTATTACCTTATATCTATTATACCTTATAGACCTTATATTACTTATATAACTACTAAAGGGCTATAATATTAATTATAAGCCTTTTCTTTTTTATAGTCTTAAGCTTAATAAGGTACTTATAAAGTAAGTATAAGTTAGTATAAAGGATTATTAGTATATATAGTAGCTTAAGGTAGTTAGTAATTATTATAATAGTTATACTAAGTGTATAAGTAATATTAGCACTAGTAACTATACTATAGATCTTAGAGGCTAGTATACTTTAGGTAACTTACTTATACTTTATTAAGCTAAAGTAAATAATATTACTAGTTATAGTAAATTTATTACCTATAGTAGTACTTATAGGTGTCTTATTAGTAAAAATAATAATAAATCCTAGCTATAAAGTAAAGTCCTTATTATTTATAAATAATCTATTTATAAAGATAAAAAGCTTTATAGATTTAAGGTTAAGTAAATAAAATAATAAACTATAGTTAAGGTTATTTATTTACTATATAATATAATAGTTAAGTGCCTTAATCTTATTTACGTTAGGTAATTAGTATTATACTATAATAAAGTAGTTAAAGCACGCTTTAGGCTAGTAGACTAATATAATATATACACTATAGGCCTATTACTTAACGTACTACTTAAGTGCTTATAGAGATTCTTTATTAATAAGTTAAAGTCTCTTACCTTAGCCTTTTTATTAGAGAAGGAGCTTCCCCTTAGTAGTTAGAGATACTACACTACTATTAAAGGTAAGTAGGTTATTAATAGTAAGGATTTACTTCTCCTTAGTAGTAAATATAGCCTTAGTAAGCTTATTAGCCTTATAGGTAGAGAAAGATTTATCTAAAAGGGTAATAGTATTATTAGTCTGTATACTAATAATCCTAAAGTCTAGGCTCTTTATATTAGTAATTAGTAGGTATAAATTAAAGGTTAAAGTCTTTATCTAGAGCTTTTCTTTATAGTAGTAACTATATATTACTTACTAGTAAGTGCCTGCCTTTATAATACTATATAATAGCTTTACTACTTATATAATAGTGCCTTTTAGATAAAGGTCCTATATCTATAATAAAAGGCGTATAAGAATTATATAATTTAATAAGGTAGTTAACTATATATACGCCTAGGTAATATTATATAACTAGAGTAAGAAATTATTATTATTATAAATAAGGGATAAAGTAAAAGTAAAAATAAGGCGCTAGCTAGCTTACTAGATTATAAGTAACTAGGTAAGAATTACTTCTTTACTATTATTAGTATATCCTTAGATAACTAGGCAGGATTTCTTATATAGTTTTTTATTTTAGCCTTTTACCTTATTAATAATCTATAATTTAAATATTTATACTTTAGTATGCTTATTCTTATTATATTAAATAAAGTAAAATACCTTATAGGTAATAAGCCCTTTAATCTTAGTAGTAGTTACTTACTTAAAAAGCTTCCTTAAGGTAGTAATAATACTCTTTTTTTATAGTTTAATTAATAATAGTTAGTTAGCTTCTTTTTTTATTAAGACGTATATTATACTTATAGTAGTAAAGAAGGCAGTAGGCCTAATAGTAAAGCTAGTTTTATTAAAGAAATTAATATACCTCTATAGGCAGCTAGCTTTTTACTTTAGCTATAAGTATATAGTAATAGTAATACTATTATATATTTCTTTAGTAGGTATAAGAATATTAGTAAGTAATAAGGCTACTACGCTATTATTATTATTCTCCTTATTACCTTACCTACCTACCTTAGAGAGTAGCTATTATTACTTATTATAAGTATCTTTAAGGTATAGTTTAATAATAGTTAAATAAAAAGTTTATAGGCCTTAAGGGAGGTTAATAGTATAAGTAGTTCTATTACTAGTAATAAGGTAAAAGGGGCCTTACTAGCCCTTTTTCTTATACTAGACGTAGACTATAGATTAAAGCAGAAGGGCTACTATTACAGTAGTATTTAGGCTATTATATATAGTTACTACCTTATTAACTTACCTTTTTATATAGATTTAGTAAATAGCCTCTATTACTTTTCTTACTACTTTAGCCCTTTTAAGTAAGGTTAGTAAAGGTAGTAATAAGTTAGAGATTTATAGGTAGGCACTAAAGACTAGTAGTATAAGTACTAGGCTATTTAGGCTAGCTATATTATTAATTACTTTAACAGCTAGCTAAAGGGTAACCTTAGGTGTATAGCCCTTACTATAGAGGATATTATATATATATTAGAGGGATATATAGTATCTTTTAACCTTACTAATACTATTATAAGCTTTAATTAGTATTTCTTTAATATTAATATAAAGTAACCTTACTAACTACTTAAATTTACTAGCGTAAAAGTTTAGGCTAGTATTAGTAGTAATCTAGTTAGGTAGGCTAAAGTAGACGTTAATCTAGTATATCTAAAGTGCCTCTTATATATACTCTATAGTAATATTTTTAAGTAAACAGGCTGCTTAAAAGGATATTATAGTATTAACTATATATAAGGCTAAGTAGTTACTATTAAGGTAAATAATATTAATAATAATTTTATAGTTAAAGTTATATTTATTATTATATAAAGTAAATTTAAAGTAACTAGGCGCCTTTATATTTATCTAGTAGTAGTAGTAGACCTTAGTTAATTTCTTTAAGGCTGTAATCTTAACTTTATTACTAGATTATTAGAGAACGTAATAAAGCCTTTTAACTAATAAGTAGCTAAAGTAATAATAAATTTACTATAACTTAATATCTATAAGATAGTAGTAGGTAATACTTTACTTATATTAATTAAGTAGTATCTATATATAGCCCTATTTATAGACAGTAGGCATAATAGTGTTACCTTAGATTAGCTTATTAGTAAGGTTATTAAATTTAATACTATACTAATCTATATCTATAAGGTAAAGTAGAAACAGGGTGTTTAATAGTATTATATAGAAGGTTAGCGTACTAAAGGGGGTTAGTACGTTAATTACCCCTTATAATTTAAAGTAGTTACTACTACTAAAGCAGATTTTTACTTTACCTACCTATAACTTATCTATAGCTAGATTTCCTTTTATTTAGTAGCAAAAGGTAAGATACTACTTATATCTAGCTATTAAATATTTAGCTAAACTAAAGTTAGGTATAATACTATAGAATAAAATAAATAAATATTACTTATTAAAGGTAAAGACGTCTGTATTAAGTAGCTTATTATTATATAGATTCTTATATAGGGAGT